AATTCTGAGTTTCACTATTTTTATTCCTTTTTGTAGGCTTATATAATGATATAAATTAATTATTGGTAGGCATGATAATTTCAATAAGTTCTAAAAGCTAAAGATTATTTCTATCTGGGTAGCGCCTGTAGCTCAAAGGAGTAGGGCACTGGCCGCATATGCCAGACGCAGCAGGTTCAAACCCAGCTCCCGCTAAAAACTGCAAATAATAGTAATAATAATAAAGACTATTTCTTTATTAAATAGTTTCAGCATATTTTACCTAGCATTGTTATACCCACCTGAACATTTAAAAATAGAAAAACTTACAGAGTAAATGTTGCTTTTATTACAAATTTGAAGAACCATTTTTGGACAATGAAATGAAGTGAGCTAGCTTTTCCTTGTTTCCTGCAGGAGAAAAATGCCCACTCTAATCACTATTATCTAGCATTGTACTGAAGATATTAAGCCAGACAATTACATGAGATAAAGAAATTAAATGTGTAAACACTAAATAGATATAAAATTTTCACTCATGATGAAGTGCCAGGGTCTGGACTCATCCTATCAAAGTAAACAACTAGAAAACTGAACACAAGATGGGAAGCTACTACTTTCAAGTATTAGACAATAGTCAGCAAGAATTGTAATATCTGGAAGAGAAACAAATCAAGCAAGTCCTACCCTTGCACATATTTCCTATGTGGGAGAAATTTCCAGACCATGGCACAGTAGGAGGTGGTAAGGGAGCCCCAAAGAGAACTGAAAGATCTCATTGAGGTGAAAAGGCAGATTGACATTCAGGAAGGTCAAGATTGCTAGAATTCACTGTGCAGAGTTATAGAGAGGAAAGAGCTACACAGAAAAAGAATTAAATCTATCAGAATAAATTATCTCCATGAAGCTTTGGTTGAGTAACAGTCTGTTCATTCAAAGTGTAAAAGCCCCATGAGGAAGGAACAACTTTTGAAAGAAAAAGAATGCTACAGAGCTCTACAACAAATAACTCTTTGCATTCACACTGAATCAGGAATTGTTTGAGCTTCCTTCAGACAAACTAGAGAGACTTTTTCATACACAGTCATTCATTAGTGACCTCAAAATGGCCAGATTTTATAGGTAGAATCAAATTATCCCTAAAATAAAGGCTATTCTATACACACCTAAAAGAGTTTATAAAACAGCTTGAAAAGGACTTAACTTACATGTGCTTTAAATTTCAGCAATAAAAGTCTAGCACTTTTTAGAAAAATGCAACAAAATCCTGCACTCAACAATGTAAAGTCTACAATGCCTGGCATACAATAAAATATTACTAGACATATGAGATAGCAAAAATATTTGACCCATTATTAGGAAAAAAGTAAGTTAGCAGGAACAGACCCAGAAATGTTACAGATGAGGAAACTATCAGACAAGGATGCTAGCTCAGCTTTTATAAATATGCTGTGTAAGATGAAGAATATATAGGAAAACAAGAGCATAATGAGTCAAAAAAATGAAAGAAGAATAATAGAAAAATCATAGAAAATTTCTAAAATACAAAATAAAAAGTGAGCATTTCATTGAATGAGACTAAAAGAATAATTGACACTGAAAAAATCAATAAGCTTGAAAATATAATAATAAAATCAGTTACTGAAAAACAAAAAGTCCAAAGTGAAGTTCTGCAAGGAAAATGTCAGAACTAAACTGAACAAACCTTCAGTGACTTCTGAGATATTATCAAGTGGGTCTGATATGTAATTGGAGGCACAGAAGGAGAGAGAAGCATTCATCAAAAATTTTAAGACATAATAGTCAAATTTTTCCAAATTTTTATGAAAATTATAAATTACAGACAATAGAAGTTTAACAAACCCCAAGCAGTCTAAACACCCAAATAAAATAATCATACCAAAGCATACAATATTCTGATTACTGAAAACAAATTATAAACTCTTAAAGTGGCCACAAAAGGGACATTAGCAAGAAGACAGAATAGGAGTCCTCTGGTTCCACTCACCCTCATGTATAAAAGACATAAAATTGTAAAACTACTTGAATAAAATATGGAGGAAAGCTCCACAACATTGGTTAATTAATTTTTTTAATATAATCCTAAAAGTACAGAAACAAAAACAGAACTAGAAAAATGTAATGGCATCAAACTAAACACCTCTGTACAGGAAAAGAAAAAAATAAAGTGAGATAACCCACAGATTGGGGGGAAATATTTGCAAGCTAAACATTTGATAAGGGGTTAATATCCAAAATATATAAGAAACTTAAAGAACTTAACAGCAAAGAAGCAAATGACTCAGTTTTAAAAATCGGCAAAGGCAAGAGTTCAAGGCTACAGTGACTTTTGATGATGCCACTGCACTCCAGCCTCAGCAATAGACTAAGGCCCTGTCTCAAAAATAAATTAATTATTAGTTAGTTAATTAAATAAAGTTTATGCAAAGATTTGATTTGCATCCAAAATGTGTGCTTTGTGAACGACTTTCTTTTTTTTTTTAATCGTTGGGGGTTCATTGAGGGTACAAAGAACCTGGTTACATTGATTGTATTTGTTAGGCAAAGTCCCTCTTTACCCCTAAAAGGTATGTCACATACTGTGACGCCCCCACACCCCTCCCCACTTCCTTCTCTCCACTAACCCTTTCTCCCACCCCCCACCATCTACTAGGTCATTAATTGTCCTCATATCAGAATTGAAAACATAAGATTCTTGCTTCTCCATTCTTGTGATGCTTTACTAAGAATAATGTGTTCCACTGCTATCCAAGTTAATACAAAAGATGTAAGGTCTCCATCTTTTTAATGGCTGAACAGTAAGCATCCCACAGTATACATATACCACAGTGTTAATCCATTCCTGGGTTGGTGGGCCTTTAGGGTGTTTCCACATCTTTGCGATTATAAATTGAGCTGTGATAAACAGTCTAGTGCAAGCATCCATATGGTAAAAGGATTTTTTTTCTTCTGGGTAGATGCTCAGTATTGGGATTGCAGGATCAAATGGGAGGTGTAGTTTGAGTTCTTTGAGAGTTCCCCATACTTCCCTCCAAAAAGGTTGCATTAGTTTGCAGTCCCATCAGCAGTATAAAAGTGTTCCCTTCTCTCCACATCCACACCAGCATCTGGAGCTTTGAGATTTTGTGATGCAGGCCATTCTCACTGGGGTTAGATGATATCTATTATTAAACAAAATATCTAAATATCACTCTCAGTTAATAGACTGAATTCTCTATTAAACAATCCATGAACAAAGGACTTCATACCATCAACAGGGTGAAGAAGAAAAGATGAAACATTTTTGTTCCCAAAGGAATGACAAACAACAAAAATATACTTAATGATTAAATATTTCTAATTTGTTCAAAATCAAATTAAAAATATCTCATATAAACTATATGCTTGTATAATGATAGAGGTAGAGTCCATAGGTTAATAAAAAAATTTTATGATCATATTTCTGCAATTGTTTTTTTTTTTTAATCTGGACCACCTTATAATTATCTACATTATTTTCTTGGCCCCATGAAAATGTGAGTTTACAAACTTTTCTTTACTTTTTGGTTGTATCTGATGAAAATCACAATTCAAGATCACAATGAGAAATACATGTGAAAGCGATATGAAGGAAATTAGCATGATTAACTAACAAGTGACTGGAACTGTACTGTACTATAGTCTGAAGATGCAGTTAAGTGCAATCCTGAGTATCTTGGTCTCTAAAATCAAACTGCTGCCGGGCGCGGTGGCTTATGCCTGTAATCCCAGCACTGTGGGAGGCTGAGGAGCTCCTGGAGCTCAGGAGTTCGAGACTCGCCTGAGCAAAAGTGAGACCCCAACTCATGAAAAAAATGGACAAATCCAACTGGCACCACGGCGAGTGCCTGTAATCCCAGCAGCTTCTGGAGGCTGAGGCAGCGGAATGCTCACAAGCCAGGAGTCTGAGGTTGAAGTGAACTACCAAGCCACTGCACTCTGCTCAGGGGCACAGGGTGGGACTCTGTCTTGACAAAAATAAAATAAAATAAAATAAAACTGCCTGGGTTCAAATCTTAGCTATACCACTTATTTCTTAGGTGAGCTTGGATGATAAATTAAGCTTTCTATCTCTTTACACATAAAATTAGAATAATAATAGGACCAACTTCATAGAGTTGGTGTGTGAATAGATTGCAAAAGTCCTTTACATACAGAAAATTATCCAACAAGTGTTTGTTATTTACTATCCCTTTTAAAATAGGTTGTTGTAGGCCAGGCGCGGTGGCTCACACCTATAATCCTAGGACTCTGGGAGGCCAACACAGGTGGATTGCCTGAGCTCACAGGTTTGACACAAGCCTGAACAAAAGTGAGACCCCCACCTCTAAAAATAGTCAGGCATTGTGGTGAGTGCTTGTAGTCCCAGCTACTCAGGAGGCTGAGGCAAAAGAATCACTTGAGCCCAAGAGTTTGAGGTTTCTGTGAGCTATGATGCCCCAGCACTCTCCCAAGGGTGACAAAGTGAGACTTTGTCTCAAAAAAAAAAAGTTGTTCTATTCAAGGTCTGTAAAAAAAAAAAAAAACTTAAAAATTAAGGGATGGAATGATGTGAGGATATGTATGCAGAGAAGCAAAGAAGAGATGCCTTTATTCAACAGCAAAGAGTAAAGTATTGGAAGTTGAAGACTCTAGAAATATATGTGTTCCATAAGATAGAAAGTGCTGAGTTTTTTCTTTCTTTACTTGAGAGTGTCACTGAAAATTCTTGAGTAGGATGAAAATAGTGATTATAGTTCCATTTAAAGGAAGATAATTCCAAGCTAATATGAATAATAGGTGTTGGCACAAAGATATTTAAATCTTATTTTCAAACTTCAAGTCAACCTACCTGGGACTGGAGAAAGAAGCATGCTGAGCACCCTGACTTTCTGCCACCAACGCTACTTCAAACACAACTCTGTTGTCATCACATTTTCATATTAGCCTTTAGCATACAGTTTTGTTTAAGCAAAAGGTGTAGTAGTCTTAAAAAAAAAAAATTAAGCCACTGATTTAGAGTGACATTCCCTTATAAACATTACTATATCTATGAATTGAATAATGGTAAAGTTCCAATTAGTACGTTAGAGAGAAATGAATTTTCTTTTTTTTTTAAAGATTGTTCCAGGGCTCTTGTTATGTCTCTGTTCCTTAGGCTGTAGATGAAGGGGTTCAACATGGGTGTCACCACAGTGTACATCATAGCCATGACAGTCTCCTTCAGAGTTTTATGATTTGTGAATGGGCATAAGTAGAGGCCAATAATCGTCCCATAAAAGAGAGACACTACAGAGAGGTGGGAGCTACAGGTGGAGAAAGTCTTCTGGATGCCCCCTGTCAGAAGGGACCTTAAAGATGGTGGAGACAATTCTTGCATAGGACATGGTGATGAGCAGGAATGGGATGATGAGGATGAGCTCCCCCATGAAAACTATCACCAACCTATTGACCCAAGTGTCAAAGCAGGCCAGTTTCAACATACTAAATGTATCACAGAAAAAGTGAGGAATCACCTTGACAGAACAGGACGGCCTGGCCATGAGCAGGATGTGCAACATGGCATGGGCAGCAGTCAGCACCCAGGACAGCACCAACAGAGAAAGACAAACTTTGGGGCTCATGATGGTGCTGTAGTGCAGGAGGACACAGCTGGCTAGGTAGCAGTCATGGGCCATGACCACAAGGAGTGAGCTTTCCAGAATGCCAAAAATCACATAAAAATACATCTGGGCCAGGCAACCTGCATAGTGGATGGATGGGACGTGGCTCTGCATGTTTTGGAGTAATTTGGGTATTGTGACAGAGGAAAAGCAGAAGACAGAGAAGGACAAGTTACTAAGAAACAAATACATGGGTGTGTGGAGACAGGAGTCCAGATGAATGAGGATGATAAAGAGGAGGTTCACCAGGACAGTGATAAGATTTATGGTTAGGAACAGGGAATAAAACAGGTTTCACTGCTCTGACTGGATAGACAGGCCCAGAAGAAGGAACTGTGAGATGACAGTTTGGTTCTTCTTCATCATTCTATGATTCTATCATCTTTATGAGGAATATCATTCACCTTAAAATCCATAGATAGCAAATAAATGTATCTCTAGAATGTGTGACCTATTGTCATGAGGTAGATGAATGAGAATTTAAGGACAGGCAGTAGATTGGTTCCTACACTCCTATTGCAACTGCTCCATCAAAACCCACAATAACTCTAAATTCTTGTCTGTAAATCCAATACCATATCACATTTAACACCAATGATCACTTCATATTTCATGACCCATCTCTTGGCCAGGTGAAAATTTACCTTTGTGACTTTTTTCCTCCCTACCTAGGAATATTTCACTATTTCCTCACAGAACTGCTTCTGTTTTATCTTTCTTTGAATATTAATGCTTCTCAGAATTTTGTCTTTCTACATTTCCCCAAATATGCCAAAGAATCCCAAGTGTATTTCTTCAATCCACACCAGTCCTCTGAGCTACAGCCCTAAATGTTCAGCTCCCTGATGAACGTACTATTTACATATTTCAATGACACCTCAAACCTCATCCTTCTGATGCTAAGTTTGTTATCTTCTCTGTTCCACCCCAGTATTCTCTAGCTATCTATGCCATCTTCATGTTATTCAAGTCAGAAACCTGAGAGTCATCCTTCACTCCTCTACTTCAATTATTATATCTTGTTGATTGCTCTTTCTAAACATGTCTCCTTATGCCTATTCCCTGCATCCCATGGACACTTTTCAGGTCACTTACTTTTTTCACCTCAACAGTTACAACAGATTTGGAAGATCTACTTTTCCTCCCTTAGAATCTGTTGACTTTATCTAGAATTATCTTTCCATAACTCAAACCTGTTTGTGTCACTATTCCAATTAAAGAGCTTCATCTTTCTATTAAGATAATCTCCAGAATGGTTAATAAGGCACAAAAGGCTCTATTTCACCAGATGAATTAGCTCCTACCTACCCAGGCATATTGGGTTTCTCCCACCATCTCAAAGGCATCTGCTCTCACCCACCATGGCACATCATAGCACTATGGCCTTGAACATGCCACCTCAACTCCACTCCTTCTCTTCTCCTGGAAACTTACACTTTAGATCATAAAACATGGGATTATTTCCTTCTTGCTAGATTTCTATACACATAATAGAGATAATATCTATCTTCTTCACTGCCAAACCCCCGTCTAGAACAATGTGGCACCAAAAAAATAGTGTGCTTCCTAAGGGACTACTGAATTTAAAAAATATATATATACATACTATATATATATATAATATATATATATATATATGGCTAGAACAATCACTGCCACTGAGGCTTTCCAAGTCAAGAGCTCCTTCATATAAATCCTTTGTTTTGATTTATATAAAACTGCACTGTAGGCTTGTCATAACATCATTCTGGAATATTACCCCATCTTCAGCTATTCTGTTATATGGCTTTGTGCCAATCTACTCAGAAAACAATGCTATGACTTTGTCCCTTGAGATTTTGAGATTCAGCCTACACAATATCAAGATATTGGTGTGGGAAGAAATGAGACTGATATGGAAGTTTTAAGATTATGAATGTAAACAATAATAATTAGGATAATTTCCAGTCTTTAAGACCTAGTCCCTGGGCTCCTCCAGATACCCCTCCCACAGTGTGACACTGTAGAAGTTCTTTTTTTTTTAATTCCTACAAACCCTGAATAAGGGACTCCTCACCAAGATCACAGAATTTAATCCACAGATATGAGTGTGTTTTCACATTTGAACAGAAAAAGGAAAGATACAGCCCATGTTTTAGTGTGGAGAAGGATCTATCTTTGATTCTTTTGAGAATTTTTCATCCTGGGATCTACATTGGTATCATCCCTCACTAAGATGTGTGATTATAGCCAAATTAGTCAGGTATCTCTTACAAATGCTCCCATTAATGAGATGAGGCTTATGAGCTTTACTCTATTCATATTCTCTGTATTCATTTCTTCAACTTTAAAATAGTAATACTGACTTATCCCTGCTAACCCCACAAAGGTGTTGCAAAGTTGAAATGTCTTGTGAGAACTCCTCTCAGAGTATAAATGACTCTATTATGCAATATAATTGACCCTTGGACAATGCTGGGGGTTAGGGGAAACAATGCCCTTTGTGGTTGAATATCCACATATAAATTTTGGTTTCCCAAAAACTTAACTCCCAATAGACTATTATTGTCCAAAAGCCTTAACAATGATGTAAACATTCAATTAACACATATTTTGTATATTATTATATACTATATTCTTACAATAAAGTAAGAGAAAAATGTTATTAGGAAAATCATACGAAGGAGAAAAATATATTTACTATTCATTAAGTGGAAGTAGATTATCATAAAGGTCTTCATCCTTGTCATCATCACATTGAGTAGGCTGAGGAGGAAGAGAAAAGGGAAAGATTGGTCTTGTTGCTGCCTCAGGGGTGGCAAAGACAGAAGAAAATCTGCAGATAAGTGGACCCACACAGTCCATACCTATGTTGTTCAAAGGTCAATTGTACTTAGGATACTATTTTAAATAAATAGATTGAATCTGGTAAACACCAGTGAGGATATTTAGAATGTTAAGCAATTATTTGGATTTTACACTGACTAAAGAACCATCTCATGTACTCACATCAAAAAGCCTTATTAATCTGAACCCTAAGGTTAAAAGGCCCCTATGGGATACAACTTCCAGCCTGAAAGGACCCTATGGGATACAACTTCTAGACTAACTTACCACATATGTCTGAAGTTAATTCTGAAGCCTGAACCTGGGATCCTTCACTCTTTTATATAGGTACATCGAGATATAGCCTCAGTAGTCGTCACCTAAATGCACACCATCCCTTCACACATCTCCTGTTCTGTGTTTTTGAGGGCCTCAAGACAATAGGTCCCAGTGGAATCTAAATGCTGGAGAAACTCATTAGCAACAGACAAAGAAATTCCTAGGGCCCCCCTGGGACAAATCCTCCAGGAGGTCTAGAGCAGGCACTGTTAGGCCACAGGGCAGTAAGGAGGCCCTAAAACAATAAAAACATTCTACCCGCATATCAGACTCTTGCACCTGGAGGCAACACCCTACTCCCTCCCTACTCCCTCATACCCGTGCTAAAAATAACCGTCGCAAAAAGTCCCCAGAGCAAAACTGCCCAACAACCCTGCAAGTTATGAATTCCCCAATCACCAACCGCCTCATACCCTAACGCCCCCTCACCCCCCCTGCATGTAGTTTTTCGCCTTAAAAGCAGCCTGTAACAGCCTCTCGAGGTTCCTTCCCCCTTGTGGCTGAGAAACCCTGATGCGCCAGCAATAAACCTGCCTCTTGCTTTTTGCATCGATTTGTGATTGTGAGTGGTCTTTGGGTAGGCGACCCCCGGGGTGGGCACAACAGCACCATTTAACTACCCTTCCTGGGTGAGGAAAACAGGCAGAAGAGGAAGCAAGCGCATGCTCAAATCCCACCAAAGAAGTTGCTCTGACCACACCTCATCATAATAGGGATAATGAATCATTCTGTTTTGTTTAATTAGTACTTCAAAAATGTCCTAAAAATAAATATTCTTTATGAATCAACTAATTCAATCACTTAATCCTATCATTTATCCCTGCTGCATTTACGAAAACTCACTTTGAGTTTTCCCACATACCCTCTTGGCTGAATTTTGAAATCTAATCCCAGCCTTTAAACTCAGCACAATTGCTACCTCTTGCACAATTACTTCCTAATTTCTCCCAGCCACATATGGCAACTTTATCTTGAACCTTTCTGAGTTAAGTGGGTGAAAAAAGATAAATGAAGGGAAAATAGCTTCTTGAGTAAACAACATATGCAAACACTCAAGAGGTAAAGGCAACATGGCATACTTAAGAAACCAAATAACTTCAGTGTGGCTGAAGTGTATTATAAGAAAGAAAGAATTCGGGGGGGGGGGCAGCAAGAGAGCCAGGCAGGGTCCTGATCATGAAAAGCCTTATAAGATGTAATAAAGAGCATCACCTTTATCCTAACAGAAAAATCTATTAATAGTTTCAAGAATGGCATATGTATGCTCAGCATTAAACAATCAAAAAGGCAGATAATTTTTTTTATTTTTTTATCTACTTTACTTGCAAATGAAGGAGAAAACATTATTGCTTTATTCCAATAAAGAATCACCGATTTTTTTATGGATGTTTGGTTTTTTATTAAGTCATATACACATAGATCATGAATACATTTATGCATATGTGGGGTACAATGTGTTGATTTTTTATACAATCTGATGTGGTTGCATCAAACCAATCAACATAGCTTTTGCCTCATTTACTTGATTATTGTGTTAAGACATTTATGTTCTACACTTGACAGATTTGGAGTGTACCTAACAAAGGACGTGAAAGATCTCTATAAAGAGAACTATGAAACTCTGAGAAAAGAAATAGCCGAAGATGTTAACAAATGGAAAAACATGCCATGCTCATGGCTGGGAAGAATGAACATTGTTAAAGTGTCCATACTACCCAAAGCAATCTACAGATTTAATGCAATCCCCATTAATGCAATCCCCATTAAAGCACCTATGTCATACTTTAAAGTACTTGAAAAAATAGTACTTCATTTTAGATGGGAACAGAAAAAATCTCAAATAGGCAAAACATTACTCAGAAATAAAAACAAATCAGGTAGAATCACACTACCAGACTTCAGACTATACTACAAATCTATAGTGATCAAACAGCATGGTATTGGCACAAAAATAGAGAGGTAGATGTATGGAACAGAATTGAGAACCAAGGGATGAATCCAGATACTTATCATGATTTGATCTTCGATAAGCCTATCAAAAACTTAAACTGGGGGAAAGACTCCCTATTTAACAGATAAATTATTTAGAAAGCTATTTCAGGAACCCCAAGTGAGAGATGATGGTGACTTGAATTTAGGTAGTGGGGAAAAGGCTTGAATTCTGCTTATTAGAGGAAAATGGGCACCTATAAATATCCTTAACTAATCTGCATTTTAATGTA